GTCAATTTTTCTCATCTTGTAAATGAGAATAATACTATCAGTTAAAGATATTCTGGTATATGGGCATATGGTATGGTCTAAATAAAGAGTAGCTATTATTATCCACCAGAATATTTATATTAGCTACTAGCTAGACTATAAGCACTTTGAGAGACTTTGATCAGCTTGTTCTGCTATATCCTTAGTCCAGCACTGAGCCAACACTGTAGTTTTCAACGCCTGTTTATTATATCAATTACTATCTTCACTACCTTTTTCAGGGAGACCATATTAGGATTGTAAGGGGTGTATTAACTCTCTCCTCCTAGTTATTTTAACGGAAAGTTAGAATAACTCTTAAAAGTCAGAGAAGTCAAAGATTAAATCATATACCTCTCCACTATCCTATGGTAACAGAAAATAAGTGAATAAACAAAACAGACAATTTTACATGGGCCAAGTAATGTTATTAGCTATGTTGGTCCACAGTTTTAAATCATTTGTTTAAGCTGCTGTTAGGTAGGGACCAGGAGGAAGGGGAAACAGGTGTGGAAGCCAGGCAAGGGAGATTCAGTAGACATTCCGTTGTCGGCCAATTAGAAGAGGGTAAGAAAACCACAAACCGAAGAGATGGGCCAACCACAGAAACAAACACCTTGGGGCATGCGCACAGAGGAGGTGGGAGCGACCTTAGATGAACTACCGTCTTGAACATAGTAAAAATCAGACCCACCAGCGCTGTGACAGTTTACAAATGTGACGGCAACCCCTGGACGTTATCCTGTAAGGTCAAGTTTAGGGAGGGTCGCCGGTTCCAGGAAATCTCCACCCCTCTTTTTGCCCTTCCCATTTGAATTGATTTTTCGGCCCCCCTTTTGGCTTTTCCCTTAGGTTTTGGCCTTAAAGGCGGAATTTTTTTAAAACCTAGGGTCTTCTCCACTCACAGAGATAGACCTGTTCCCACTCTGGAAGGTACTGTGCTTTAATAAATCTTGCTGTTTGGCTTGCTTATTTCTGTTTGGCTTGCTCATTCATTCTGTCAACTCGGGACCAGTAACTATTCTTCATACTGGAACCAAGAACCAGGGACACAACATGAACTTGAACCTGACACTGCTATTTTAGAAATTACCTACCGATGTCTTATTATAGTAGAGGAGATCCTTCCACTAAATTTGATCTCAATTTTTGGTTAAATTGATTGTGGAGTGTTTTTTTGTTTTTGTTTTTGAGACAGGGTCTCACTTTCTAGCCTAGGCTAGAGTGCACTGGTGTCATCATAGCTCACTGCAACTTCAAACTCCTGGGCTCAAGCAATCCTCCTGCCTCAGCTTCCTGAGTAACTGAGACTACAGGTGCACGCCACCACGCCCAGCTAATTGTTTTGTTTTTTTGTAGAGACAGGGTCTTGCTATGTTGCCCAGGCTGGTATCAAACTCCTGGCCTCAAGTGATCCTCCTACCCTGGCCTCCCAAAGTGCTGGGATTACAGATGTGAGCAACCATGTTCGGCCTAGTTTTGCATTATTATGAATAGGGAAATACTATCCACTGTAGAGCCAAGAAATTTCCTGTGATAATGCTTCCCTTCTTATAAAAATTTTTGCTTTTCCTATTATGTTCCTATCCTTCATCTTTTATATTAGATGCTATTTTTATTTCAAATGCTCAAATATATCTACTGATTCTACTGTTATCTGGAAACCTCATCTTTGGTGAGGAAGAAAGGCCTACTTCCCTGTGTCCTGCTCCAACATGAACTGAATGCTCATTAGTTTTGTTGTGTAGGTGTCATCTGGGATACTCCTTTATTGCTTTTCTGTGTTAGATTCTCTTTTTCCTAGCTACTATGTTTCCTTTTTTGTTACTCTTACTACTTTTTATTAGTGTATATGGTGTAGTAATTCCTACAAAAGAGTGCATAAAAGGTCTATCATTTTTAAAATCTTGTGCAGCAGACATTGCTGATTACATGATTTAACAGCCATTTCCAAACCCCTTCCCCTCTGCACTATGTAAAGACTGGAAAAGCTGAATACTTGTTTATTTTATTTATTTACTTTTTGAGACAGAGTCTCACTCTTTTGGCTGGGCTAGAGTGCTAGAGTGCTGTGGTGTCAGCCTAGCTCACAGCAACCTCAAACTCCTGGGATCAAGCAATCCTTCTGCCTCAGCTTCCCAAATAGCTGGGACTACAGGCATGCACCACCATGCCCGGCTAATTTTTTCCTCTCTCTATATATTTTTAGTTGTCCAGATCATTTCTTTCTATTTTTTTAGTAGAGACGGGGTCTCGCTCTTGCTCAGGCTGGTCTCAAACTCCTGACCTTGAGTGAT